GATTCTGTCCTGCTGCAGTGTGACATGATTAGTTTGTGTACAAACTAATACACTATCTGACTTTTATATATTTACACTTCTCATTCAATCACAATTAAATTCACTCTATCTAGGAGGCTCAGTTTATATGGATAGTTTTTATTTTTTATAATAACAAGCTGGAATGAAAACAAGCAGAAAAGAAATAAAAGTAACGACTTTGTACTTCTTGTCTTTTTTAAAAATGTAAGGTGTAGAATTAAAAAGTAGGCTAAAAAATAATTACATAAGTAAAGTACAGATACCCAAAAATTCTTCTTAAGTACAGTAACAAAGTATTTGTACTTAGTTTACAGCTCTGAGCACTGATAACTAACAAAAGCATAAAGAAGGCATGTTTGACTCACAGGTTTGGACTAATAAAGACCAGGAGGAAACCATATTTAAACTGATCCTGAYGCACCTGGTTTGTGTTCTGGTGTTTGGTTACTTACGGAGGACCAGGACTCCGTGGCGGAGCGACTGGGCCCGGTTGGACTCCACCGCCAGGTTCAGCACGGTGGGGTTTCCTCGCCTGAGGCAGACCCGGTTGTCTTGTTCCGCCTCCTGGAACATGGTCAGCAGCTGGTTGGCGATGACCCCGTTCAGCACRGAGATGGCCACCATGGGCACCACGAAGGACAAGAAGGCGTTGACCTGTTGAAGGAAGGACAGAGACGAGACATGACCAGGAAGTCATTGTTTCAAACTTCAGACCCTCTCGTGCTCTAAGTACCTCTGTTTCCAGTCAGAAGCTGGTTCCTCTGCAAATCCTTATCTCACATCTCTGGTGTCCATACTACTGATACCAGAACTTTGTTCTAGAATCGATACTTAAATCAAAATATCGATACTTTGATACTTCATTTATTTCACATAATGTATATCATTAACAGGGAAATATTGGAAAATAACTAATCTTGTCTTAAACATGTGGTTGGAGGGAACTACTTTTTCTTCTGCTTGGGTAATGCATCAGCACAGTGGCACGTGCTCAGTCACTCAGTCTGTAGATGTACGGCAGGTCATTTTAACATAAAATATGCTTCGTCTGACGGTCTGTGACTACATTGAGGGGTTCTCAAACTTTTTCATGCCATGTCCCCCCAAACAGCATTAGCTCTGGCCAGGGACCTTCTTGCAAACACACAAACAATGCTACAAAATAAACAAAGTTTTTAGAATATTCTTTCTCACTTTTATTCACGATTCAAAAATTATTATATTTCTTTAGAATAAGAATTTTAAATTGTGCTAAACAAATATAGGGTTAGGGTTTGAAAAACTTTTAAATTAAATAAATTACTATTTCATGTATTATTTATAAAGCGGTTATTTGAAAAACGCTACTTTTTAAGATTTACCAGACACATTATGTGTGTTATCACAAAGTATCAGTATTGGATCAGTATCACAGATACCAGCCAAGTTTTACTCTTTTTCAGTATCAGAAAGAAAATTGGCCTCATTAAACATCACTACTTGTGGGGGAAGTTAAAMGATGACGTGATATAATAGTAAAATGATTGTGAAAATGTAAATATAATATATTAGCTTCAAATGTTGTGCAGCACCTTCCTGTCTCAGTTTGATTCAAATTAATATTTATAGTTGAAGTTATGGGAGCTTTCTGAACATTTAGACACGTCCCTAAAGCTGAGCAGCATCTATAACATTTTATTTAATATGTATTTATTAATTTTCATTTTAAAAAACAAAGCTAATTTTATAC